TACCAAAAGGAAAAAAAAAACACACATCTGAGGAACATTTATACATTTAAAAATATGGTACGTTTTGTGACCCATTATATTTAGAAGAAGAACGTTTTATAAGGTTAACGCAGATGTACCGTCTTCCCAATTACCGTGAGTCATTTTCTTATCGAAACAGATATACACACATTTTAGTTTTAGCTTTCGACCGTTTTGGGCTATCGTGGTCGCCCTCGTAGCCCGGAGCCTCAGAGGTCGCGAGTTCGAGGCTGGATGCTGGCGATTCCGAACCTGCGTGTTGCGTTTCGACTCCCTGAACCCGTCTTTCTCTTCGACTTCTCACGTATTCGTTCGACTTAGTTCAACTTTCTTGTGGACTCTCTTGAGCTGAAAAGTCTCTTCTGCTATATATCCTAGTGTTTCGTATATTTGTGGCCATTTAACCATCGAGCTTTGGATGTTCTGACTTATATTCATACCTAAGTGAATAGATTTTTTTTTTTTTTTTAATCTTCTTTCACCTGTTCTTCTTCCCATCCTTTTCTGCTCCCTTTTCCTTACCCTCCCCTCCTTCCTCTTCTTCTGTGCCCCTCCCTTCCCCCCCCCCCTGGATCTCCTTCCCCCCCAGACATATTCCCGTCACTGATGTAAGCAAATTTGACTTCGGGACATCTAAAGCTCTTTGTCAGTTTTCGACGTCACAAATTATTGTCTTCTAGAATCTTTGTGATGCTTCACTCTTCTCCTGTCGGTTCTAGAATGAAATTATTAGTCTTCAAAAATGTTTTCTTAGATTTTATGAGACTCCTGTATATTGCCTGGGCAGAGAACGAAAAAGTGTCTCTATGAACAAGATATATTCACAAGTTTTACTAGTAGAGTTTAGAAAATTTAGAAACGCGAGGACATAGGTTAGGTAAATATAGATTCCTAGTTTACCCTGAAAGTTTGACATAGACTGATGCTGGACGTAATGTAGACTGTAGTTAAGGTAGTGTGCTAAGCGCTACTACCTACTAGAAAATGGGTTTTCTGAAAACAATGGTATTATTAGAAAAACTAGAAACCAGCCACCCCCAACCCCTGTATGGCCTAGTCCTCATATGTAACTCTAGCTTTACATTTTATGAATAGCGTGATAGAAATGTAGTTTTCAATGCTGTTAAGATGAGATGTAACTATTTTTTGTAGACTTAAGCAGCGGACTTGAGTTAAACGTTGACAAGAATATGTATATTTTATTATATTACATCTATTAATCCCTGATTAATAAAATCCAAAGTGAGAGAACAAAATCCAACCAAATTTCTACAAATCTGTAAGGAAATATCCCCCTCCCCCCCAGAAAATGGATATGAGATCTAGAGGGAAAAAATCAGAATGATTCTTTTCTCGTAGGCAAAAAAAAAAATAATAATAAAAATAAACACATTTTAAAAACCTATATTCGTGTTTAAATATATGTATCTACATAGCAAAAAAAAAAATCTCTTAAAATTTTATTTGTCGAAAACTTCATGTCTCAACGTTAACTTTAGTCACCTGCAGTTCTTCATTATTCTCGATGTAGTGCTAAACTATTCTGTAAACTGTATGTGTGTATGACAGTTTTCTAATGGGTCTATATGAAAATTATTGTTGCTACGCTTGACATATTTTTCCTGTAGTTTTTTTGAGTTTTTAACTTAAGGTCGGTGTTATTAATATTAGCATTTTTGTTGTTTTTTGTGTTGTTGTTGATATAATGTTGTTGAACTCTAATTACCATTATTAATAGTATCCATAAGGTCATTTGTGATAGAGATTGTCTCCATAATCAGTATCATTGTTATCATTTTAAGTTATTAGTGTTATTTAATTTTACTTTTTTTCTGACATTATTGTTAACCTTATTAGTATCATCGTTATTAATTTTGTTTGTCATTTTCACGTTTTAGTGTTTCTTCGTTGTGGTTTCCTTTGTTATTTCCTTCGTTACTGTTTTTTGTAACTGCGGTTCTTTCATTGGTATGATTTTATCGTGATTACCTTTATTTTGATATGATTACTATTATTTCAGCATTATTATTATATTTGATCTAATATGATCATAACTATTTTTTTAACACATTCATCTTTATTATCAATGGTTATTATTTTCTTCTCATCGATTTTGCTTATTTACCACATTCCATCACCATCACTGAAATGTTTCACCATCATCATATATATTTCTCTTTACCACTGCCAAGTGTTCAGTCAAATGGTATATATATATATAACAATCAAATTATAAAATCATAGGTATTAAGACATTTATCTTAACCTGATGATATATAGTACAAGTGCAACACTGCGGTTATTAGTGTATTCAATTAAGCTTATGTAGTATGACTTTGTATCGTTATGTCATTGAGTAACTCGAGGCTATCCTGAGTGTTTTCTCTTGTGTAAAAAATTGTGAGGTATTTGTAACATAGCTCAGTGTACATGTGATATCTTTGCTAGTGCTATTGTCTACTTTATTTTTTTTAATGCATTGTCTATTTCAACTGTCTATCTATTACTTTGTCTGTCTAACCCTGTTGTTTGCTGTCTGCATTTATTTTTTCTTTGTCTACCCTATTCTACTGTATTATTATTATTTTTACTGTCTATTAAATCTACTGTACACTTCTTTGCGTTCTGTTTTGTTAGATACATTACCATCACCATTCTTGTAGTTTATTGCTATTGTCATTATTGATACTATCATTATTAGCATCATCATTTTCATTGTAATTATTATTATTAATATTATGATTTTTTGTCATTATTATTATTATCATTAACATTATTATTGTTATTATTATTATTATTATTATTACTGTTATGATGATAATTTTACCATTGTTAATATTATTATTATTATCATTGTTATTATTATTATCATTATTATTATTATCACTATTTTTATTTTACTTTTATTAGCATCATTGTTTTTATTGTTATAATTATTCTTATCATTGTATTATTATTGTAATTATTGTTCTCTTTATTTAAATTAGCATCATTATTATCATATTGTTATCATTGTTATTTTCAATATTATTATTGTTGTTGTTGCTTTCATTATCATCATTATTATTATTATTACCATTATCATTATTATCATTATCATCATTATTATCATTATCATTTTCATTACATCACCATCAGTATCAACACTATATTCTTAAAATCGCCTTACCATGACTGTGACTTGTGTGCTATAATCACTTATTCTGTCTTCCTCTCTTAATTTTTATTATTTCTTGATTCAACTCGTGTGTTGAGTTAATCCAAAAAAACAACAACAATTGTATTTCTTATCTCTACCCTGTTGTTCTTCCCACATATGTTCTCCTTTGTTCTACCACTGCCGTTAACCTCTCTATCGTGATTTGTGTGTGTGTAATCCCTCTCTATGTTAGTTACCGTTTCTTCTACACCGTGTTTATTCATTATTAATCTGTTCTTTCTTCCCTGTAGTTCTTCCTTTGCTGGTGTTCTTTTAGTCCGACCTGGGCTCAAGGTTTCCAAAATTGTTCTTATGAACACATTTTTTTCTTTCTTTCTTTCTTTCTCCTCGTCTTTTCCGTCGTTGTTATTAACCATCTCTTTTCCTTTCCTTTCAGTTGTATGTACGTATTAGGTTTTAAGTATCTTATGTCTACTTCTGCTGTACCATCACCTCCTTACCAAACACACCAAAAAAAAATATTTGATTACATCTTCACAGTTCTTTTAATGTTTCTCCATTTCTATTTTCACTCTTCTCGAGTCCCTTGTACTTTGCAGCTAAGACAAGATACAATATTTTTTTTTCCAAAGTAAAAGAAGAGAGAAAAAAAAACAGTAAAATCCTATTAATCCTTGTCTTTTTTCCTGTAGACGAAATAAAAATCATCTTATCTGTCCCAACATTTGGTATGTTTGTTACAGACGTCTTTCTCAGTGCCACCTCATGTCAAGAGAGAATTTTCTTTAATACACAAAAGAAAAAAAAAATGTACATACTGTCCTATGTCACGGCTAGTGGTAGTGTTGTCTATTGCCATGTGGTTATAGCAGCGTTAAGTATTATTGTTCTATGTTATATGATCAAAAACTTGTTCATGTCTGTTCGTAGTGTCCTTGAAAATAGCACCGCTGCGTTGCCACTTGGTATTGGATAAGTATTTGAACAAGTGCCACACGGTCTTATTATTAAGGCAAAGCTGTACATTTCTTGCTTGTATGTCTAATACACTCACCTGCTGCATTATTTCACTACTTTCTGATGTAATATTTCCGGTATGTGCTGTGTGCGAATTGGGAAATTATTTATGGATGATCTGTTTGGCTGAATTTTATCCTGTTTTGATCAGCTGATAATGCTTATATAAAAAAAAATATCTGTATCTTTCTGTTAATTTAATTATTTCCACGTGACAGCTAACCTCGGAAATGATTACATTAAAAAGGAGTAATTATAATACTGACAACGCTGTAATTTGTATTGGCATTTAGGAATCAGTCTGATTATAGTTTTTGAATCATTTAGCTTTCAGATCAACAAAATATTGTTAATTTACGGTCCCTTTTTAACATAAACTCCTTCTTCTCCCCTTTTAATTAAAGCATTTACTTATGGATAATATAGATTAAGAATGCAAATATTTATCCATAATACTTTTAAGACACGCCTTCCCGTTTCGCCACCAGCTGTTCGCAGGCTTCACGAGGGCATCACGAAACTCTCTCTTAGTCGTCTCTGTCTGTCTGTTTCGGACAAAAGAAATCTGAATATGGTGTTAAGTGCCCCCAAAGTCACTCGCGTGCCCTTGCTAGGTCACGCTGCCCCAGGGGTGACCAAAGGACAGTCTTCCCCCTACCCCCCACCCCGTCCCTCCCCTTTAAGAGAGTCTCCCCTCCCCCTTCCCCTTCAATGTCCCTCTCAACCCTGCGGTGTGATGCGTGACGCCTGCGAACAGCGAATGTGGTAGGATGACCTTTGCTGACCTGACCTCCTCCTGAAGGTGGGGCTGGAGCTGGCCGAGGTAGTGCAAGCGGCGTCCCGACGGGGCTCCCTGGCCTCGGACGACGGCGGGAGACACCTCCGGCCGGACGAGTACCCCGTCAGCCGGTATCGGTCGCGCTCGCCGTCGCCCTCGCGTGGCTTCCAGTCACCCACGCCCCCGCACAGGTCAGTCGACACGCCGCGGCCTGTCTGGTGCGCCTCTCGCTCATATTCAGTATGATTGCATACACTGTCTGAGACCTCTGGTGTATGACCCTGCCCTAAGCATTCACACACTTCAAGACAGTCTGTTACACAATATAATTAAGTTTGATAATTCAAGTATTCCTATTAAGATAAGTAATCTATAAGGCTAACTAGATCGTAAGATTCGCCAGATTATTATTCTGCCTCTAGTGTCTTAGTGCCAAGATAAGATTAAGAATTAGATTCTAATGTTTGACTCAAAAGGCTTTTGGACTTTCGAAAACTATAACAACAAAAAAAAATCATAAATCTTTTTTTTCTAAAAATAACATCGTCCTTAAACCCCCGATGGCCCAAGCGCCCTTAGTGCTGAGCGCCTGCCAACCGCCACTGGAAGAATCAGCCGAAGACACTGTACAAGCCAAGTAGCGGTGTTTCAAAGACTAGTTTGCAGAGAGCTTAAGACCGCAGGGTACTTTTAGCACAGTAGACGTAAGTTGGAGGCGCGGCGACGACCCCAGCCCGACCTCCCCCTCTTGCTATGACCCAATATAACCTGACGTCATATACCCCCAGACGGCTAAGATCTCCGACGCCCAACAGGAGGAGCCCGTCGCCCCGTCGGCCAGGCCAGCCACACGACGTCGGCTTCAGCGACGCCGTCAGCGACTTAGTGGACCTCGTCAAGCACGACCACGGCCACAAGCGAGGTAGGCTCCGAGGTAGGTCATGTGGCCAGCCAGGCGAGGTCATCATCAGGGCACTGGAGGTATGTATCTGCTGCGGGCAGGATTCACCTGTCGCCAGACCCCAGAACTTTCATCCTGTGTGTGTGTGTGTGTGTGTGTGTGTGTGTGTGTGTGTGTGTGTGTGTGTGTGTGTGTGTGTGTGTGTGTAATTCAGAGAGAAAAATAGGGGGAGAGAGAAAAAGAGAGGTGGGGAGAAGGAAAGGAAAGGCGAGAGAGGAAGAAGGAGATGGAAGTTGAGAGAGAGAGAGAGAGAGAGATTAGTCATTAAAAGTATGTAATATTTGCAAGTGATGATGTTTGTGAAACAGGTGAAAAATGGTGCCTCGGCGATAGTGAAACAAAATCGGAAAAGGCCAGAAGTATGGTGACGTTTACCACTTTTTTACCCAATTTCATATCTTGCTTATCACTTCGAACACACACGTACATACCCACCAAAAAAAAAAAAAAAAAAAAAAAAAAAAAAACATTTAAAACACCCATCGAAGCAAATAACTCCAGAACATTACTTTGGATGAACAAAAAAAAAATCAGTGATACATTCCGTGTTTTAGAACATTATTTAACGGTATGGGTGACAGTGGTATAAACGCCAGACATGCTTAATAGCCTTTCCCGATGTACACACTGGGGACTCGTGACTTCGATGCCTTGGGGCTCACGTGATCCGCTCAAAGAATCCACTCAGGTCGCCCTCTATAGATAAAGAGAAGGAAAAACACACTAAAAGATCATGAAAGCAAATGAACAGAAATCATACAAAAGAAAGAAAGAACAATCACTCGCGATTTCCCATAAAATACAAATGTCTTACACATAGTAAAAAAAAAATATATAACATAAATTTAATGAGAATTTGGTCTTCACATGGAAAAAATATATATATTAACGTTAGGACGCGATTTTTCAGTGGAATGAGGATCTCTGGGCCCGACTAAGGCATGCGAAGGTCCGCCATGCCGGAGAGTAGTACTGATGCCCGCAGTAGTTAGGGGATACAGTCTAAGACAAGTCACGACGTGTTAAGGAATCTACGAGCTTAAAATTGTTCATTATTCCTCATCGGTGTTGTGCCTGCACCCATATTTATTTATTTTATATATCTATACCTTTTTTGATATTGTAAAGGACTGCTTGATTGAAAAATGGTGTCATTTATTTTCACGATTGAGTTCCAGGTTGTGATTAGCTAGTGAGGAATACTGACATAGTTTTTTCTCTTTGGGCTAGTTGTTTCGCAGTTCAAAAAATGTAAAAAAAAAAAAAAACACACACATTGGTTGTTGTTGTTTTTTTATCTTTTTTAATAAGTTAGATTCCTTGACAAGTCACCCATGAGGTTTTTTGGGGGAAAATGAAGTGTATTTTCGGATTGTCCATATTCAAATCACGTTTTCCCTTTTTTTTTTGCATCATCTTTCTACCACAAAATGTGATTTATTCTTATCGTATATCTAATGAATATGACACATCCCCCCCCGTTGATATGCTTCTACCCCTTTGAACCACGAGGAAACAATGTGTGTCTCGATGTGTTTGTTCTAATGGAAAGGTTAGTGACATTTTGAATTTCGTTTTAAATTTTTTTGTTTAATGAAACTTTCCCGTTCCTTCCCTTACTTCCAATTCCTTTTCTTTATTTGTATTTTCTTGTATTCTTTTCTTTCTGGCATGATAATTTTTCTTCTGCATGGAATTGGCATCTGATGTTAAGTGATAATTAAAAAGGTTCATTATCGAGACTGCCGCTGGTTTCATTTTTGAAGAATTTTGAATCTTCGTCTCTGTTATTAGCTCTTGATTATTTGTTCTAATTCCCTTTTTCTCATTTTATTTGCAAATGGGTCTTGATTTCTTTTTTTTTATCTTCAGACTCTTATGATTTTCGTTTCTTTTTTTCTTCGTCTTTTTCTTCATCTTCTAATTGCCTTCCTTTTTTATAATCTTTTTCTTCCTAGTGTTTGTTAACATGTATTTTCTTCTTGCCTCTTTCCCCCCCTTTCTTTCTTTCTTTGCTCTCTTATATCTCCATCTATCTTCGCTTCTCCGATTGCTACGTCGAAGCACGCTATCCATTTTCCTCTTCTTATCATAAATTAAACCATAGCAAACAAACAAAAATATTAATAGATAAATAGATAAATAAACATATATAGATAAATATTTCTATAACTAGGTAAGTACCCATTGATATGATAAATTACATGCAGTTATATACACTGCATGATTATTACCGTGAATATATCTTTCTTTTTATAAAGAAAAAAATATACACATGTATACACGATTCAGCGCAGCTTTTGGCCTAACTTTTCATACTAATAAAAGCTTTTCTAAGAACGTCAGATGTTGATTATGCAAACCTGTGAACACGGTCATAGTGCCCCATCGTGACTCTTAGATACCTGTAGTGTTTTGTTCTTTTAGTGTAGAATTCTAATTCTTTCATTCTTTTCGTCACCATAGTAGTGGCTGTAGTGCAAGCGCTTCTTTTGTCATTGTTGTTGTTGCAGTGATCATTATTATAGCAATTTATACTGTTTCATTTTGTTATGTGATATTGTTCTTATCATTATGATCATTAATAAGTTTATTGTTATATTAATTCTTGAAAATATTTTACTATTAACTGTATCTCTTGATACTTAATTTATTTTCATAATCATTATTGCCATCGTTTTATTGCCACTATTATTAATATTTCCATTGTTAATTTTCAATACTGTTCTTCCAGTTGTCCAGTATCAGCATCTATTTGTTTCTTTTCCTTTCTGCACTTTACTTTCTGACACTTTCTAGGCTCTATTGCTCGTTTCTCGTTGTTCTGTGTTGGTCACGATCCAGACCCGCGTCATAGATCATTCTATAAGGCAGTTCAAACCTAGTCATCAAATGATTACAGTTTCACTAAAACCCTTGTTTGCTAATGACGCGTGTCTGTGTTCGTGTGGAGGAGGCGTGACCGGCCCTGTGTAACGCCGCCCTCATTTGCAGGCAAAATGCACGACGACTTCGGCATGATGTCTCCGGTGCGGGGTCGCAGTCCCAGCCGCCGCCGCGAGCCGTTCCCGGCCCGGCCCTGGGGCGTGAGGGACATCCGCTCGGAGTCCAACAGTCCGGACCGCCACTACATCCCCACGCGGCTGGACGCCCGCTCGCGCAGCCCCTCGCCGCACTCAGGGCTCGCCGGGACAGCAGCGCGCCGCGGCCGGACGCTGGAGTACTACGGCACGGCCTCGCTAGACCGGCGGTCGCGCAGCCCCTCGCCGCACCGGCGGGCGGGCTCCAGCTACCCGACCATCCCGCAACGGCGGGGCGGCGGTCGTCGGTTGCCTGCCACACCCAACAAACCCTCTACACTCCACCTGGGCCCCCAGCCCCAGGGCGCGGGCCACGCGGGACCCAGCCACCACACTCTCCCAGGGGCTAAATCCCCCACTAGATCTCAGCCCATTAACTTCCCCAAGCTGAACGCCTCGCCTACGCATGTGCCCAAGTTAGAAATGCCTCCGGTGTTCCGCGAGCGAAGGACTCCACCAGTGACAGAGGGGAGCGCTCGCCCCCGAGGGCCCCCGCAGGGGATCATTCCCCAAGGGGCACTCAGGCGGCCGCCCATGGCGCCCATTAGAGACCAATATCCGTATGAGCGGCGGCCAGAAGAGCCACTTAGTTTCGAACAGGCGGCTGCCTACGCGCGAGGCCCCCGGCGTCAGCTGCCCTCACCAGCAGTGCCTAACGGGTACAAGCCAGGGCGGGACCGTGCAGTGACGCGGCTGCCCGCCCCTGGGGTTGGGGGGGGAGGGGCGGGGCCTCAGCGGAAGGGGGCCCAGGGGGAGCGACATAGTGACAGTGATGAGGACGACTGGTGCTAGTGGATCCCACAGGGCGGCGTAGGCCCCCACCCCCCTAGGGCGGTGGTGGGGGCGGCACTGCCCTGACTAGCAGTGCCTGGGGGTAGAGTGCAGCACTGGACCTGGGCAGGGGAGTAAAATAGGGCCACAAGACTAGTGTGGCTTTTCTTCATGTTTGTTTTGTACCATATCCCCTACAAGTGCTTTATTTAAAACATACAACAAATGTTCTATCAAATCTGTGATATTTTAATGTCACCACTACTGTAGCTCTCTTGTGTGAGGGTTGTATGAATATCAAAAAAAAAACGAGCAGAATGAGATATGTCATTCCATTTTATCTGTCGGTTTAGTCATTGTTCGTTAGGTGTAGTATGAGTACCACTTTGTTACCTTTTTCTTCTGGTTTTTGACGACTAGGCAGTTAGTCAGTAGTGTTTACGATTTGCTACGGAGACAGAGGTTCTCCAGGTCAATCTCACGCGACAAGAACAACCATTTGCCTGCCAAAGCTCGAGTGTTTGTGCTGCCGAGCAGCCTCAGTGCGTGGGTGGACGGCGATGCTGGAGTCTCTTGCTGCTGTCCTTTCACATTCCTCCTCGCCTTGCAGGTTTTGTTGTACTCGTTAGTCTTAAATTGTGTGGACGGCGGTACCTTTTGTATCTCTTGTCCACAACCAAAGTGTGTGTCCATCAGTGTGGAGTGGGGACAGCAAGGCCCCTCCCCTCTCTCCTGCTCCATTTTGCACCAAAGTAATCATTAAAAATGGATTCAACATTACATCACGATTAGCGGACATAAAATGTATGTGGTAACACAAAAATTGGAATTGTATGTTAAGAAATTATCGGTGATTTATCATTGAGAAAAATATATAGTGGTCACTCTTTGTCAAACAGGAAAAAAAAACAGAGAAAAACAGCATTGGCTTTAACAGTGTACGAGTCCTGTGTTAAACCTAGCGTGGTGATGCGTCCACTCTTTCTTGTATATTACTCTTGATGCTCCTTTGAAGAAATGTTGGGAAGACAGTGACCCAAGAAACGCCTCCAGTTAAAGTAAATTCCTAAAAGCTTAGGATGTTTAATGACTGTGAATATTAGGGACTTTGGTTTTACACTAACGAGAAGAGCTTGGTTTACTGGGGAATGTTATTATTTAGGGGATCCTTGTGGTCTTTGGATTTAACGTTTTGACCTTTTGTATTAAAAGTCCTGCCTTATATGGATTGGCCCTCACCTTGGGGGAGTGTTCAGCTTGGCACTCTAGGCGCAGCTGTGGGGGTTTTTGGGCACCCATGGAGGCACGAAGCACCTGAGGGTGGGATTTTGGGACACCCAGAGAGCTTATGAAAAGAACCCAGGGACATTAGGGACACCCAGGACTCTAAGGGCATCTAGGGATATAGGGGAACCCAGATATTTTAAAGAGCACCCTTGTGTTTTTTGCTTTTTTTGAGAAAAAAAAATGTATCTACAGAAGATAAAAAAAAATTGAGACATTCAGGGAATTTCAAGCACCTGCATAATGTAAGGATCCTCCGTGATTCAGTGTTAACCAGGGAACACGAGGCACCTTCAGTATAGGGTCTCCTTCATCTTCAAGACACACGCTGTCTTGACACGGCATGCGGGGAGGCTGAGGACACCACAGGAGAGAGGTTACGGGTTACTATGTAATCTTGTCAGTGATATGTGATCATGACTCCTAAGATTTTATTGCGGCTGTTACGTTATCTTGGGGTTCCTATGTAGTCCTTTGATTGCTATGCAGTCTTAGGGATTCCAAGTACCAATGGGTAACCCTATTCACAGGGTAAATGGTTTTCGAGTTTCTTATTTCTTGCATGAACCAACAGAGCACAATATTACCTGTTGCATTCATTATGATGATGCGGTCTGATTTGTGAAGCATAGCATAAAAAAAATATATATGTATATGTGTGTGGTCAAGATGTGGTCATATAGATTGATTTTGTCATTTGATTAATCTGAAGCTTAGTGCAGATGATGACTTGCCTTTCACCCCTTTGGCTTCGGAGGTGATACATTCATGTAAATGTTCATTTGTATATAGTATGCATGAAGAAAAGCAAAAGTTAACACAAGAAAGAGCTAAAGTGTAAAGGTAAAAAAGAGACATGAAATCCATAGGAGTCCTCAAATGCTCTCAAAAAAAAAGGTTACTATGTAATCTTGTCAGTGATATGTGATCATGACTCCTAAGATTTTATTGCGGCTGTTACGTTATCTTGGGGTTCCTATGTAGTCCTTTGATTGCTATGCAGTCTTAGGGATTCCAAGTACCAATGGGTAACCCTATTCACAGGGTAAATGGTTTTCGAGTTTCTTATTTCTTGCATGAACCAACAGAGCACAATATTACCTGTTGCATTCATTATGATGATGCGGTCTGATTTGTGAAGCATAGCATAAAAAAAATATATATGTATATGTGTGTGGTCAAGATGTGGTCATATAGGTTGATTTTGTCATTTGATTAATCTGAAGCTTAGTGCAGATGATGACTTGCCTTTCACCCTTTGGCTTCGGAGGTGATACATTCATGTAAATGTTCATTTGTATATAGTATGCATGAAGAAAAGCAAAAGTTAACACAAGAAAGAGCTAAAGTGTAAAGGTAAAAAAGAGACATGAAATCCATAGGAGTCCTCAAATGCTCTCAAAAAAAAAAGGTAAAATTCAAGAATAATTTCTATTCGAGATTTTTGAAGTTTAAACAAAATTCTTAAAATGATAATAATGATAATAATAAAAAAAAGGAATGACGTAGAACCAAATCATAATTTTGTGTCTGGAGTCTCAAGCGTCCGCGTGGGTCCCAATCACCCTTATACTGCAAATCCATAAGTGCTTTTTTGTATAAAATAGTGTTACTTCCAGTAGTGTTTCGCAGTATCCATCCTACTACCAAGAACCAAGTTGAGATATTTGCTGATACATAACCTTTCTGGTGTTGATATCCCAGTTGTATCTAACAGAATCGAGGTCCAATGATGCATGTCGGATAAATTGTTCTCTTAGTACCAGCACGTGCCGAATTCGTTTGATCTCCTTCTTCGTCTTCTTCTCCCATCTCTCGATTCTTTGATTCAGAACGTTGAGTTTCACATATCCTCATTTCTCAAATTACTCTCAAGCTTCAGATCCCGGTACTATTGTTATTGATGATGCCACGAGTCACATAAGGTAGAGTGCCCAGTCTTTCAGTAGCTACTTAACTCGTAGATGAAATCAGAGACATCTAACTGCACTTCTCTGTGTCGGGGGTATCAAACAATGGATGAAAGTGATTCACTAAATATACTTCACAGAATCTGATGTAAACGTTTTAAACTATTTATCGCAAGCTGAAGACTGAACTTTTGCGGTGAACAAATTTGAACGTTGTAAATTTCACTCCGCATCAAAGTCTTTCGTATCTGAGACTACGATATTCTACCAAATGTGGTATTAAACGTAATTAAGACGAGAATATTGCGCTCTAAGCCAAGATTTTCAACCCTCATCTCATCTTGTCATTAAAATCTATTATTGCCCAAAACGCCAATATAAAAGTGTTCCATATCGTATATTCTTCAGCTGAAATGCACAGAGAACCTCTATATCTTTAACTAAATCTCTACCACTTTCATAATGCTTAATGTTTCATTATCTACTCATTGTATAGAAACTTCACATTACAACCTGTTGAAAGAAAACCCAGTTGCAATTTGAGATATATATGAATATATATACATACATTTATATATAAGAATATATATATATGTGAATTATAATAGCCTATGATTGATCTAAACTTCAAATATTTATGAAATCTGATGTAATGTCGCCATCGTAGAATTGATGGCATAACCTTTTGGTCTACAGATTTCGTAGGCTTTTACCTGCAATCGTGTAGGCCTATGGCGGCCACCTCCACAGGCCGGCCAAACCACCGCATCGTCACCGCGAACTCCACGCGGTCAAAACACTGTCCAGCCCCGCGCAGCCCCGCGTAGGCCGCAGCCCAAACCATTTTCCAGTGGGTGAAAATGATATACATGTTGAATAGACTCTTGTGCGTGAATTCTTGGGTGCCCTTTGCATATATACACTCCTTAGCTGCTTCTCGGATACCTTGGTAAATACACTAGCGATAGCCCTTCGCCCTCCCAGTTCTAAACCTCTTTAACCGAACAGTGGACTGAATCGGCTCTCCTCTTTTTGGAATGTGTTCTCAATACCCCCAAAGAGCCACCAAGAATTTGGGCATGAGACCGACCTATAAATCCCCCCCTCCCCTCCCCTTACTCTAGTGCATGATCAGTTTGAGATAACTTTGATACTGTTTAACTATTTAATCAGTTTTAAGTCCCATAGCTATTGGTATTAATGAACGAAATAATAAACAAAACAGCAAAGGAAATCCTATGAGAGGTTGTGGGTTGGGTACCAAGGGGTTTTTTAACCAGTAGTCTGACTCAATTTAGCCTGAATCAGCGGAAATTATCCCCCTTCCCCCCTCCTCCCTCCCTCCCTCCCCTACATAACACCCCCCCCGAATATCCCCTGAAGATAGAGCGGCCCCTAAATACAGGCCTTGACTCTATAATGCAAAGAGCTATTCCGTGGTCTTTGTATCATCGTGTGTGCCTTCATTCTCTTCAGTTTTTTTCTCTTTGCCTGTCGTTGGAACAAGACGGGATTTGGGGATTCTGAGCTCACGGTGGAGTTGCCATAAGGTTCAATTTAAAAAAAATATATAAAAAAACAAAAGAAAAAAAAAGACATAAATAATCCTCCCTCTCTTGCGCCCCGCCCCCCACCCCCGTACACACAACTTTATAAGTAAGATTGAATCCTTTTGGGGACCACCGAGGCAAAGGCTCAAGTTTCGCAAATCCCGTCGTGAAATATGGCATAGGTCGCGAGATATCTATGGATCTATGGTTCTCTGAAAAAAAAAGAATAAGAAAGAACCCTATGCAGATGTGACGACTCTTTTTTTTTTTTTTTTTT